AAAGACACTGGAGTTTCTGTCTTGGTCTCTTGGATTACTTGCTCTGGGGAAAGCCAAGCACCACATCATGAGGACACTCAAACAGCTCTGTAAAGAGATCCACATGGAGAAGGACCAATTCGTTAACACCAACTGCCAGCTTAGAAATATATCCTCCGGCCTTCAGATGACTGCAGCCGTAGCCTAGATGTGACTACAACCTGGTGAGAGACCCTAACCCAGAACTGCCCAGCCAAGCCACTTCGGAATTCCTGAATTCACAGAAACCATGAAAGATAATAAATGATTATTGGTGCTTTAAAACAGTAAATTTTGGAGTACTTTGTTACATAATAATAGAGGATTATTATAATAACGAGGATAATTTGGCAAGACTAAATTGGAACAACTTGACCCTTCACCATATAGCTACATAACCCAAAGAGCATGGACAAAAATGACAGATAAGCAACAAGGTCCTGCTATACAAAGGAAAGTGGTTTTAACATACATGCACATATATTAAGCATAGCCACTTCACATACTGACAAATCCCCAAAGTGCCACACTAATTCGAAAAGCCTTAAAAAAAAAAAAAAAAAAAGGAATGAGGTCAGGCACAGTAAATCACACCTGTAATCCCAGCAATTAGGGAGGCTGAGGAGGGCTGATCACTTGAGATCCAGAGTTTGAGACCAGCCTGGCCAACATAGCGGAACCCCACCTCTACTAAAAATATAAAAATTAGCCAGGCATGGTGGTGTTTGCCTGTAGCCCCACCTACTCAGGAGGCTGAGACACGAGAATCACTTGAACTCAGGAGGCAGAGGTTTCAGTGAGCCAAGATCGAACCACTTCACTCTTGCCTGGGCAACAGAGGGAGACTCAAAAAGTCTCAAAAAAAGAAGAAAAAAAAAAGAGTAATAGTCTACCAACCAAAAAAAGTCCAGGACCAGACGGATTCACAGCTGAATTCTACCAGAGGTACAAAGAGGAGCTGGTACCATTCCTTCTGAAACTATTCCAATCAATAGAAGAAGAGGGAATCCTCCCTAACTCATTTTATGAGGCCAGCATCATCCTGATACCAAAGCCTGGCAGAGACACAACAAAAAAAAACAAAACAGAATTTTAGCCCAATATCGCCAATGAACATCGATGCAAAAATCCTCAATAAAATACTGGCAAATCGAATCCAGCAGCACATCAAAAAGCTTATCCACCATGATAAAGTGGGTTTCATCCCTGGGATGCAAGGCTGGTTCAATATACGCAAATCAACAAACATAATCCATCACAAAAACAGAACCAAAGACAAAAACCACATGATTATCTCAATAGATGCAGAGAAGGCCTTTGACAAAATTTAACAGCCCTTCATGCTAAAAACTCTCAATAAATTCGGTATTCATGGGACGTATCTCAAAATAATAAGAGCTATTTATG